GCGACCAGGGGAGGCTCGTTTTGGACCAGAATTAGATTGGGAAAAGCTGTGGCGTGACCAGGTGGTCGGGGCCAGGATGCGTTTGGCATCGAAAGTGCGACCAGGGGAGGCTCGTTTTGGACCAGGTTAAGGCTATGTGGCTTAACATGAACCTGGTCAAGATTTTCGAGAGTCAGTGTTGTGGCAATTGTTGGCCCTTTGCCGGGGGGGCTTCCCCCTCCGCCTGGGGATCGTTGTCGCTTCCTCGGTCGTGGGGTTTTTGTTAACCCAGGCGGGGGCCCTTCCCACGACCTCCACGACAACGATGGGCTTCTGGGGCTTGGCCCTCCTCTGGTTGTGTACTTGTGCAGCAGTGCGGCCACGAGCGCGTTGAGGAGTATATAAATGCCAGGAGTAGAAAGCAAGGTTCGATTGGGGATGACGATTTTTCTGATGTTCCGGTACAGAATGCACCATGTTTTTATGCCGCAACAGTCCATGCCTCACAACAACAAGCCGTGCCGTTGGGTGTGCGGTGTTTGACTCGAATTCGTCCATTGGGCTTGGCTGACAAAACGCGCGCACCACATCTTGGACAATTGTGCTCGTGTCGGCGACCAGCAACTATACCGTCCAAGACACGAAATGTGTGGCTGCACTTACCTCGATGGTGGACTTGGCCAGTTTGTACCCCACTGCGGCATGGACAGTTGCTGCGTGGGCAGACGTATTCATAGAGCCTTGTCGGCTCCACTTTGACCTCACTGCCACGATCTAGATCGAATGCACGGCCATGTGTGGGCGCGTGTGGCTGTGCGCTTGTCGTGGTTTGTTTTCCTTTTTTGGATTGCGTTTTGGGGAGATTCTCTGTCGTGGCTTGGCGTTTTGTTGGACGACTACTGTGCGGGACTATGCTCGGCAGTGGCTCGATGGACGAGTGTGGTTTCGCGTGTGGTGCCACGACGCTTGCGCTTTGTTTGGGGCGCTTTGCGGCCGTAGTTTCCTGTGTGCCGGAGTCCCTCCGCGCCAGACGTTTGCGTGCGTGGACTTCCTTGGCAATGAGGTCTTTGATTTCTTGCAGGATGTGTTCTCGGTGGAGTCGTTGGCGCAGCGACGCTACACGCGCGTTGCACTTAGATGCGATACGCTGCCATTTGCGATGCTGCGCTGGTCGTGTGTCACATGCGTCACACATCTGGTGGCCATCTTTTCCGGATGGACGCCGACGCAGGAACGTACGGTATTGGTCTTGTGGCTCAATGCTCGATGGTGTTGAAGCTCTGGTGGCTGCACAGCCTTGCCTAGGTTGTAGATTCTATGAAGCTTTTGCTGGATGGTGTTGAAGTTCACCGACCAGGGGTACAGGAGACCAAACTGTTTGCCATGACCGCTCAAGTGAGGGCTGATTGGAATTTCAACGAGACACTCGCAAAAATAGAATAATGGTTTGATTTCTGTGTCTAGTGGGGCGGGTTTTGTTGAATACAGGTTAGTTGGTGTTGTGGTGAAAAAACACAGTTTAGATAACCAATGGATTTATGTTCCCAGGAATGGCTCAACTTGGCAGTGGGATACAACTGCAACTTTTTTTGCCATCAATGCCGCATGCACAAAAAAGACATGATGGGTGCCCCGAGCCAACTCCACCAGAACTTCCGACACAATACCCAGACCTTCCTGTCACAATGTCTGAAAAGAGGACCTGGCAGTTCCTCATCACCTAACATTGTGACATTTTTCTTTTTAAATCGTTGTGTTGTGTCCCCAAAATGGCTACACCCCGCAACAGTGTTTGCTTTAATCTATATGAATCGAATGCATGTAAATAATATGTATATATATATAATATATACACATGTAGACAAGCCACTGCCGACTGACACCCAGCGGGCTTGGTGCTTGAGGTCCTCTATGCGATCTCCCACAGTTTGACCCAACCCTGGTGAAGTGGTACAGTATGCACGCATTGAACCTTGGAACCACTCTCTGGATTGTTGGGGGTGCCATGAAGTGCCTCCTGGATGATTATAACTTTTGGGGCTCCCGCGAGGATGAAACGGAAAACAAGAGGCTGGCCTATGCATATGAACTGTTTCGACACTGGACCAAGCAGAACCGAGTTGAGTAGCTTGGTGGTTGAGCTGCATGGGTGCGTCCATGCATGAAGACCTGCATAGCTGGTGACCCTATTAATAATCATAATCATTTAGAGCTCTCCAACCATTTTGTATATTTCCCTTCATCCAGCCACCAAAAGAGATTTCCTTGCATAATCCCACATAAATATATATATATATATATGTAATCATCACAAATGTTGTCATAGAAAGTTGCAGTGGAGCTATGTCTATGTGTATATATATATGTTGTTCCTGTGCCCGCACCCAGGCATTCGCAGCCGAAGTTCACTTGGAAGAAGCTTCGGTCTTGGCAGCATCCATATCCCGAACTCCAGGCCAAGGCTCACAATGTGGCTGGGATAAGCATAGGAAATTGCTTGTTTCTGATTTATTTGGTTTGGTTAAATTTCAAGTGTGATGATGTTCAGGGATCCAATGAGGAACCTGGACATATCCATAGTTGAAGGATTCCCGAGCCTAGACAGGCATGATTGGTCAGTGATGGGGTGACCCTATTCCTGGTTGGCAGATGAGTTGGCGCAGCTCGCCACACCTGGGGACAACAGGTTGTGTTTGATTACTCGCTGCGTATTCCTTGACAGAGATCTTAGCAAATGTGGGTCTACCTATTTCTTTTCAATTCTGGGTTTCATAATCATGGTACCACAACAGTGTTGAGGTTTCATATGGCTCAGTGGTATGATGCGCATGAACGAGCTGGGCACTATCTCACTGACGCGAATGTTGCAGCGTTCCGTCGGCACTGCGACACTTGAACCTGGATGGGGAGTGGTATTATTCCACTATCTTAGCCTCCTTTGTATTATTTTTCGATAAAGACCCCTTTGAAAGCAGTGGTCAATTGAAGTTTGTGGTGCATATTAATTGTCCATGGTTAACCGCTGTTTGGCCGTGGGATTTGTTATATCAATTCGATTCGACTGTCAGTTGACACTACAAGCCTGTCCCGGGGTCGGTGGCAGGGGCGGCAGCCCTTAAATCCGGCCAGGGGCCCGCTGGCCGTGTCCTTGCCGTAGGTGTCTCTCCTCTCCGAAGGAGAGAGTGGAGTCCCGCCCCTGCCGCCGACCCCTGCTCGACCCATGCGCAGTCCCGCGTTTTACAGTGTTTTCTGCTTCTTGCATTTTTCCGGCTTTGTGGCTCAAGATGGGCCAACATGGCCCAACATAAGCCGAAAAAAGTGCCCAAGTTGGGCCAACATGGCCCCAAGATGGGCCAACATAGGGTCAAGATGGGCCAACATAGCCCCCAAGCTGGGTCAAGATAACCCCAAGATGGGCCAACATAGCCCCAAGATGGGCCAACATAGCCTCCAAGATGGGCCAACCTAGCCCCAAGATGGTTGCCGAAAACCTTGGTTTTCCATCGGTTTTCCAAGGTTTTTTGCGTTTCCTCTTTGTTTGGGCCAACACAGAGGCAAGATCGGACGACGTATGTCTAAGATGGGCCAACAGAAGGTCAAGGTGGGGCAGCATAGGGCCCAGATAGGCCAAACATAGCCTCAAGATGGCCCCACAGAGCCCAAAGATAGCCCAAGAGTGGCCAACACAGCCCCGACTGTGGGCCAACATGGCACCCAACATGTGCCAACAACAACAACCCCCTCCCCTTTGCTTGGGCCCCTGGCCGGCTGTCGGGCGTAAGCCCTTAAATCCGGCCAGGGGCCCAAGGGGCCCCGACCTGGCCGTGTCCTCGCCGTAGGCATCTCTCCTCTCCGAAGGAGAGAGGGGAGTCCCGCCCCAGCCGCCGACCCCACAGGAATTGTGTGTTTTACAGCGTTTTCTGCTTCTTCCACTTTTCCGCTCTTGGGGCTCCAGATGGGTCACCATGACCCAACATAGGCCCAAACAATGCTGGAAATGCGTGCCGCACCGGGGTGCTTCGTCTGCATCGTGGGCGGCTGCTGGGCCCACGTCCACACCCACCACCACCACCACCACAACCACAACAACGACAACAACACCAACACCAACACCAACAACAACAACAATAACCACAACCACCACCACCACCACAACAACAACAACAACAACAACCTCAACAACAACAACAACAACAACAAGAACAAACAACACCGACAACAACAACAACAACAACAAGAACGAACAACACCGACAACAACAACAAC